CGTACTTGTAAATTTGATTCGTACTTGTAAATTTGATTCGTACTTGTAAATTTGATTCGTACTTGTAATGTGGCAAAGTTGTAACTTTTTAACTTGTATTTGTAACTTAAAAACTTGTATTCTCACATAAGAATTGTACTTGTAAATTTGATTCGTACTTGTGAATTTGATTCGTACTTGTAAATTTGATTCGTACTTGTAAATTTGATTCGTACTTGTAATGTGGCAAAGTTGTAACAAATTTATGTACGTTTATAGACTTACATGTACAAATTTAGACTCTTACACATACAATATTTCTGATAGTTGTCTTACCCAATAAAACTGCGACAACATTTCAATCTGTGAATGGAAATTATTGTTCTGCTAGTTGGCAGTGTTGTGCTGCTGACATGTTTTCTGGTGAATGGAGACAGATTTGTGCTTTATGATTAGGTTCTTCTAAGTTTTTTGGAGCATATGTGCTTTTCAACTTGCAGATCTAAATTAATTGACTAGAGATGGGATAAATGACTCTTTGAAGGGATCCGGATCTTGGGGAGCCATTTGTTTCATAGAGCCGTTCAAAAGAGCCATTCAATTTTGAACGTATTACGTCATCATGTAGGGAAATACATCATCACGTAGCCGTACGTAATGACGTGGAACCATGTGTTTATTAAGCGAAAAAAAAAACCTCCCCCTTTCACTGTGAGCTTCTGTACTCCACAACTCCACCCGTTTTCCATGAAAAATCAAAGCGGGAGTGATATAAATATGAAAAAATAAAGATTATATGAGGAACAAAAGAAATAAAACTACAAATGGCTTGTTACTGCCCACTCGGCTCCTATCGTTCGTTGTAAAGAGCCTTTCAAAAGACTCGGATCGTTCACGAACGTCACATCTCTAGAATTGACTAGTGCTTAAGAAATTTTGCAGCTAAATTTTGAATTAGCACTGCCCACCACTACACACAAACAYAAAGGTGAACATGAAGGTGTGTGTCTGGTGCACATGCACATCTCATGTACAAAGACTGAACCATTAGAGAAGTTTCTCTTTTTGATGCAGGAGAAACAACAATCTATACTTAGCAGTAAAGTAAATAAAATAGTGTTTGTAGATTAATTCTTTGTTGTAACAATGCTTCTTGGCAACAAATATTGTACCTTTGGAAAGCCTGTTAGTTTTTTTTTAAATAGAGCCACATTTGTAAGGACCATGCATTTGTGGGAGGAGCAGTAGAGCTGAGTATGTGGGTTGCACACATGAAAAATGTACCAGATGTTCTCTGCCAAACAGCTTATTCTGCTGTTGCTGTTGACACTTGTTTTGAGCTTCTGATTCCCTCAAGTGCTGCCAATCAGGTTCCCAGTACATGATTTAATGCCAAGAAGCATTGTTACAACAAATAACTAATCTACCAAACATAAGAACACCAATAACTCTGAGGTCTGATCACTGGGTGAGAATCCAGAAACCTGTAAAAGGTGTAACACACTCAAGCTCCTGGTGGAAAAAAACTTTATTAATCTTTTCTGAAGATCAGTTAAACTCACAACTGTTCCCTCTGTATTCATCTTTTCTACAGTCAGTTATAAGTCATAACATTCAGAGGGTAATTTCATTGATTCTAATCAGTAGTTGAAGTTTTGGTTGTGATGATAGTCTGTATGTAGCAGTCTCTGCTTCCTCCTTCCTCCTGCATCCTTTCCTTCTTAACCACTTCCTCTCCTTCTTCCCTAAAGTCTCCCCAACGGCTGGACCATCTAGCTCCTCCTCCACTGCTCCTAACTCCTCCCCTTCTCCATCCCCAACTCCTTCCTCCTTCTCCTCTTCCTCCTCCACCACAACCTTAACCCAGCCCGCCGCCCCCCTGCCACCAAACTCACCCTGTCACAACGCAGACTCATCCCCCCACACAAGCTCACAGTCACCAAACACCAACACCTCCACACCTTCTAACCCCTCCCCCTGCACCAATGAGGCCCAATCAGAGCCGTTGTCTCTCCCTCCTCCTTCAGTCTCCTCCTCTTCACCTGCTGAAGGTGAGTTTCTTTAATAACACCTGTGGACCAAACCTTCTGCATGACGTGCTCTGTTTGCTTCTGTCTTCTAACCAAAATGTATACTGATGAACGTGAACTTTATCACTTCTGACAGTTTACAGATACAAAATGTAACATTTATATAAAATCTGTTCTAGAGTTTTCAAAAATGCGTCAATATTTTGACAAATATGTTTATTGATGGTCTTGGAGATTTATTGTAAATGTAAGTTAAAAAACTGGCTGAAATTACAAACACTCACCTATCAGCAGGTCTGAAGCTCCCAGTTAAAATTTTAAATCTTTATTTCTTTCTGTTCAGTCAGTAGTCAGGTAGTTTAAACATTGGGTGAAGGACTTGTTTTATACATTGTTGACTAATCTTTTCAGCACCAAGTACATGTCTGTATTTTAAAGTGAGTTAAAAACTGAAGGACGTTTCTGCTTCTTATTTGGATTCTTTATATCTGCTGAGAGTGAAAAGACTGAGCTAACCTAGGAGTGACCAGGGGCCTCATGTGTCAGAGTGTGTAGCTTTCATATTGAAAGTTGGYGTTCAGACGAAAGTGGGGAAGTATGTACGCACAGAAATGTTCAGATGTATCCAACCGTGCACATTCATGTTTCTGCACTCCTTTCACTTGTACATCCCAACGAACGTGAAACTGGATGCATGTGATGCTCCTCCCCTGACAYGCCTCTATTTAAATATGTAAAATAGATGACAATCTTTCACACTGAGTCTGAAACATTACCAACTTTACTCATGTCTTTAATGACACAATTGCTGTAAACACAGAGGAACTCAGAGGTTTTGTGAAACTTACAGCTTTATTTATTAAATAGTTGATGTGAAGAAACAAGCTGAATCACCTTGCTGGACTGTTTTCTCCATGATGTAGGCAGTGTTGCCAGATCTTGCTACAGAAACAAGCAACCAGCTCTATGAAAACAAGACCAAAATAAGCCCAGCTGGCAACCCCCCACATTGTGTAAAATAAAGATCAATTGTAACAGTACTGTATAAACGTATACATTTATTATTGAATTATAYATCAATAATAACTCAAGCTGCGGAGGAGCCAAATGGCTGGCTCACTGCTGCCAACTAGTGGTCAGAGGCTGAACTACAATATAAAAATGAATGGCTGGCAGGAAAGTTGGCATTTTAAACCTTAATAAAAAATCGATACAGGGCTTTAGAATATCAATACAGTATCGGGAAATGAAATATCGCGATATTTCATTGTATCGATATTTTCTTACACCCCTAAAGGGGAGCGTGTATATGGAGAATAAAATAGGACCAAGGATGGATCTTTGGTGAACTCCACATGTGAGGGGAGCTGAGGAGGAAACATAATTTCCAAGGCTCACTGAGAAACTCCTGTCAGACAGATAGGACCTGAACCAATCCAGTGCAGTGCCTTTGATGCCACACCGATCCAACCTAGAGAGTAAAATATTGTGGTCTACTGTATCAAACGCTGCTGTCAGGTCTAAAAGCAGAAGTACAGTAGAGTCTCCAGAATCTGTAGTGATTAAAAGTTCATTAAAAACCTTTAAAAGTGCCGTGTCAGTGCTGTGGAGTGCTTCAAAACCGGACTGATGAATTTCAAAAATTTTGTGAGCACTTAAAAAAGAAATGCAGCTGAGTAAAAACTATCCTTTCTAAAACTTTTGATAAAAAAGGAAGTTTGGAGATAGGCCTAAAATTTGAAAGGACAGATGAGTCCAGGTTATGCTTCTTCAGCAACGGCTGCACAGCTGCATGTTTAAAACAGGCTGAAACAACACCTGAGCTGAGACTGCTGTTAAAAATCTCTAAAATGTCAGAACCAACTACTTTAAAAACTCTCTTTAAAAAATGAGTTGGAGCTGTTAACATCATTAGGACAGGATGAAGTCTTCATGTTAATTATTTTCTCCAGCTGATTAAAACATACAGGCTCAAACTCATGGAAGACAGCAGAACTTGTGATGGAGATGGGTGGATAGAGAAGGCTGAGTGAATAGTGATCTGAGGTTTTGTATCTTATTGATATAAAACTGCAGGAACTTCTCACAAATTTCAGTTTTACCTTAGATAGATTATATACACTCTATTAAAACTATTAATAATAATTTTGATAATATTGTTAAAAGTTTTTATGATTTCTGCATCGTCAGTCCTTTTTTTCCTCACTGATGCCAATATGTACAGTAATGGTAAATCCAGACTGTAGATCGTTCTGTTTGGCGCCGCAGCACCTGTAGTAAATCACATGGTGACATGGTTCACTCACTCCAGCTGTTAAATACTATTTGCTTAAAATCACGCAAATGCCCTCTAGTGGCTAAATCTAATTTTAAGTTCAGATGGAACCAGTGGTGAAAACCAACTGAGTGTCTCAGAAAAGTGTTGGATTTCTCGTGATTTAAGAAGAACTCAACATTTTAAAAAAATGTTAATGTAACTTAATAACTTTTTAGAAGCAGACAAAGACTGTGGATTTACCAATAAATAAAGTTTATCTTAGTAACGAGGTGTCTCTGTGCTGCTTTAGGTCCCATTGTCCCCCAGTTCTATAGCATGAACCGGCCCCAGCCTCGCCAACAGTTCCCTCAGGTGGGGGGGTCTCTGCCATACCGCCGCCCCCCCTCTGTGACTGGACAGCCAATAGTAACGCAGAACAACGTCAACGGTGGTCCCGACTACAACCAGAGTCCAGGTTTGTAGAACAGGATGTGATGAAACATTCAGAGGAGAAGCTGTAAATGAATCTTTGTGCTTTCAGCCTCCCCTCCGCCCCCCGCCCTCCTCCAGTTCACCCCCCAGCTCCCCCTCATGGGCTTTGTTGCTCGAGTTCAGGAATCCAGTAAGTAATGAACCTTAATATCTGTCTCTACATTTCCTCAGACCTGTGGTAAACCTGAAGGTTTTCTTAACTTCTCTCTGGTTTCCAGTCTCAGACACCCCTCCTCCCCCACACCCACCTGCGGAGAACCAGTTAGAACCTGAAGAACCTCTATCCCCCCGACAGCCAGTGGAGGAGGACTCAGCTGTGGTGGAGTACAGTGATCCATACGCTGAAGAAGATCCACCATGGGCCCCCACAAACTACCTGGAGAAAGGTGTGTTGCAGAAATCCGCATGAGTACCCTGAAATATCAGCGGTTTGTCTCCCTCTGACAGTAACGGGAAATATTCTGTCATGTGCAATAAACGTCACATAGAAAAGTTAAAAACCCTTAAAGAACAGTCTGTTTTTMGCAGAAGCATCTTGTTCTCTGCAGAAGGTCTCAAACTTGTGTACTTTGACAGAATATTAGGAGAGTAACAGTACTTGTATTTATGTCTCGTGTACAGTTAGAAGAGAAAATGGTAAATGGACTGTACTTACATAGCACTTTTCTATCTATCCAGGACACTCAAAGTGCTTCACACTACAGTCTGTGCCCTCATTCACACAGCACTCTATTAGGTCTCTACAAAGCTAACATGTACAATCATCTATGGAGACTATCAGTGCCAATCACATTCATACACTGATGGGACACACATCAGAGACATTAGGGGTGAAGTGTCTTGCCCAAGGACACAACCGTGACAGCTGGACAGGGGATCGAACCGGCAACTTTCCGATTCCAGCACGACTCCCCTAACCACTCTGCCACAGCCGCCCCACAGAACTCATTTATTAAAGGTTATTTTTTAATATTTGATGCTTTAAGCATACTCTTGGTGCTGTTAGCAGCATGTTAGCTCCAGGTGCTGATAAAGAGAAAAACATTGACATTAATTCTTAATAATTTTATTTTATTTTAAAGACTTTTCAAAGTGTTATTGACCTGATGCATCTCAGTAATCCAGGTAAAACAAAACAAAACAAAACATTAAGTAGGCCTTCTGGACATTTTGTGTCATCTCCAAGAGACTTGTTCAGTCTGAGGCCTCCGTGTCCAGTTGTCTCTGTCTTACAATGCTGTTATTTTGAGTATGACTCAGCCCTTTGTGAGCAGCAGGTGATAATCAGGGCACTAACAATCGTTAGGCTGATGGTCTTTTTATGTGAACAACCAGTTTTGATTGTCATTGTTAAGGTTGTTTGTCCACCATGTGGAGACACTATAAGGCTGAGTTTACCTGAAACTCCTCAGACTGAACAAGTCACTTGGAAGAGAGCTGAAATGTTTTTACAACAAAAGAAGAACTCATCCAGAGGACCTAATGAACTGCGTGTTTTTATTTGTTCAGCTCTGTTGTCTATTTTTATTATGTCTCCGCTCATTGGCGAAAATGATACTTAACAGAGGCGTACTGTTCTCTGGCTGTGTCAATGTTAGTGTGGTGTCCGTCTGTCACGGATGGTCTTGCATGCATGAATGAAATTATGTTTACTTAGAAATAGGCATAGTAATTCCATTAGGGTAGTACTCAGTCTGATTAGATTTGAGCATCAAAGGTCAAGATCATTTGTGGTGATTGTTAATATAAAACTGACATTTTATTCTATTTTCTCAACAGTACAAATAAAATACTTGGTTTCCATTGACAAAATCTTCACTATAATGGTTTGTGCATACATGCTCACGCTAACATCTGCACACTGTAAGAGATCACCCTATAAAACTAGGACCAGCCCAATTTCACAAAATAATCCCTCAAGATCTTTGCATTATGAAATCCCAGACAATGGTGAAATACCCGATCTGATCACGAATGAGAAATGAAAACTTGTAACTTGAACGTATTTCCAAAATAAAGTAATTTATTTTTAGATATATGAACAGGATTAAACACACAAACATTTATTAAAAATATTATACGAATAAATGAACACAAGTTATATTTTCGACATATGAA